TTATACTAACTAAGACATACCGAAACAAAACAGGAAACGTACATAATAAAGGCAAGAAAATTAAGTGTCATCAATTCGCGCCTATTTGAATTGATTACACATATTTGAATTTTGAATTTGAATTTAAGATTCAAATTCAAAATTAATGATATTGTCATATCTCCTATATTTAATTCAAAAATAATCCTATGATCATATCTTCTATATTTGTTCCACTAATTAACTCATGTCTATTATGAAGCCACTAATTATGCAATCAATTCAAATTATCAATTCAAGATTAGTCTCACAAGCTTAACAAACAGACGCACATATATAACCAATAACTAGAGTTAAGAGCTATGAACATCTTCCTTTTTAACGTTAGAAGATATGCATGCATGCATACGATTTAAGGTTTGATATGATCTTTGGAGGACCACATAATGTAATGAAATTTGTCTCTGATCTCTACAGCAGCGTTTCTGTCATTGATGAAGACCTCATATGGATACGTGCCTTGATGATGACGGTTTTCGCTCTTCCAGACTTTTTCATTTTTTCGATTAAGAATGATGAGTGTGCCATGATGTTCCAATCCCGCCCTGCAGGCTTTGCCGCCCCCGTTGTTTTCTGATTGCCAGATCTTGTGGAAGGAATGGTCATACAAAACGAGCTTGCAGTCCCTGTCGCGCATCACAAGTCTAAAGCCGGAGCGAATAATGCGGCCGTCCGGCCTCAAATAGTCCCCGCTTAGTAGAGAACTGGGAGTAGCTATAGGAATGGAGACCGCTGAAGTAATTGGTAGGCTTGCCAAAGCCATTAAGGACAGGAGGCTGGCAATAGCCCTGCTTGAGGAAGCCATGACTTGCGTGCAGCTGCTTCGTTGTGAATTTGCTTGCCTCCCGTTATTATGTATTTATACTGCTTTTCATTCACTTGTTCTTACTTTATGTCTATATTATATGAGAAGATTTACATTTACATACATACCATTTGATTCTTCTGTATTTACATATCTAAAATTTAAACTTGAACTTCAATTTGTACATATATGTATCAGAAGGTGCATTTCAGTTTTTATAAGTTAAGAGAAAGATATTTTTTTTTATGTGATATGAAAGACTTGAATGGTATGCACGTGTAAGGTTTTAGGTGTTAGATGTGTCAATACGTAAAGAATTGGGTAGTATGTATGTAAATGCCACTATCATATTATATATGAATGGATGGTCCATTTGTCTGTAAATCAAAGGTTCTGAGAGTAAGTTAAAAAGAGGCCGGCAATGGTACAAATATATAATGACAGAAATCAAACAAATTTATATTTGCGTCAAAGATATTGATTGGATTATCAAAAAGTTGAATATTTATCTACTTCCTATCAAAATTAGTTATAATATTCTTTTAAATTTTCAGATTGCATAAAAATTTGTTAGATTTTATCTTTCTGATTGGAACTAATCAAAGTCGACAGAGAAGATATCAATATAATTAAATTGAGATATTAACTGTAAACTTTGGGAGGTAGTTAAAGGGTTCCAGCATACTACTCATAAATGTACTAATATATAATTCTTAAATATATATTTATTTTATTAAATTTTATGTGTTTGGTGTGAAAAGACAAAAAAACTTATGTGGTATGTATGAAATGCCCCTTATAATTAACTTTAAATTCCTGTAAATCTCAAATTTTCCTTTGGCCTACTCACAGTTTAGCATCTCGCAGTTTTGCCCGAAACATACAAAACCCTGAGTAGCTATGGCGTGCAATCAACAATGGCAACAATGGCGAGATCGTGGAGTCCAATGATCCTTGAAACTCTAGTCTCTGGTATATCTCCCCCTTCCACTCCACTACTAAGTTGTCCCTGATTAACCCTCTTATTTCTCATCCTTCCTTGCACCCCACTTCAAGCTCTTCAAATTATTTAAATCCTATAAATCCTCTTTCAAATTTCATTTACTATAAACGAGACTTAAGAACACCCCACTTCAAGCTCTTCAAATTATTTAAATCCTCTTACAAATTTCATTTACTATAAACGAGATTTAAGGAAAAAAAAAAAGGGAAATGGAAGTTAAGAACATTTATGGTTTAAAGTTTCTTTTTTGCTGTTTAGACAATAACTGGTATATAAGGCAAAATGGAGGACATATGTGATTTAAGACCCTTCAGGGCTTTATTTGGTCATTTTTGTTGATTAATAAGGTTTAGGTTAAATCCTGCTTAATTCCTGCTACCAAACAGCCCCTAAAAGAGGGGTTTAGGGCCAACAAGAGAAGAAACAAGATTTAAGTTCATGTAGGTTTTAAAGTTGTCATTTTTAGTTGTTTGGTAGAATTTAGGTTAAATCATGTTGAAATGCTACACAAGTCATTTCACTAAATAGCCCCAAGTGAGGGATTTAAGGTAAAATGGAGGAGAAACAAAATTTGATATTGTAAGGTTTAGAGTTTATAATCAATAAATTAGTAGTTAGGATCAAATTTAAAAAATTATTTATTGGATTTTTTTATATGAAAATCGAGATACTTGTTTAAATACTAATTCACTTCTCATAAACAATCAAGTACAAATTAAATTCAAACATTAAAAAATATATATAAGTTAAGCTTAAACAATATATCAAAGCTCGACATAACCTCAAGTCGAATGAGAAATACTTATAATAATACAAAGTCAAGTTAGAATTATGATATACTCAGCTCGACTTAACTTGATTGCACCCTAGCTAGAGCATAATTAGTTGGGCCCAATAAGTTGAACTGCCTCGAGGTGCTTTCAAATTTGTCAACATCATTAAATGCCTCAATAATTGTTGCCACGTCAGTGCAACGGTCAAGTTTAGTTCTTTTTTTATATATATTTAAGAAAATGTGAAGGTCACGCCCCAGCTTTATTCATAGGAAAAAAAGGAGCTACAAAGTAAGATATCAAATTACAACTCACACGACGAAGAAATTAAAATATGATGAGTTACCAAAGTACAACAAACACCAACAAAATACAAAGCAAATGCTAAGCGGCAACCAAGGAAAAAAAAAGTCCAACAAAAGGAGTCCAGAACACCAGCAACATAATAACAACGCCAAGACAACCATCCAACAGCAACAGAAATCCCCAATGGAAAATATGTAGTCCGTTGGGAATCAATAACCCTGTAAAGAAAATAAACAAAAGAGCAGCAAAAAACTCAACCAGAAAGAAAACAATGAAGAACTAGAAAGCAAAGAATGCAAAAAAAAGAAACAAAGAAGAAAAGGAAAACAATCCACCATAGCTCAAAACATACCTACAGAAACCAAAAAGTACAAATGGTAAATGCCACCAACATCCAATCACTCGAAAATACAACTAAATAGCGAATAAATCAGCAATCAGTCCGCCGAGAAGATGGATAATCTCAAAAATAGTCTACCAGGAAAACAAAATTGTCTGCTCCAAATTGAAATAAAATTCCCTCCAAAAGTATTTGAACATAAAATAATATATTAAAAAACCTGATGAATTTTAAAAGACAGAAAATAATAAATGTTCAAAAGCCAACCAAAAGAAGTAAAACAACCAGATAAACAAAACCAAAACCATACAAAGTCAACACATGCAAGCTGATTGAGAAATGTAGAAAAAGTTATCTAACATTTCCATTGCCTAAGGATGATCTGCACCAAGGAAACAAAATCCATCCAAAAAAAATTCGAACATATAATAATATATTCAAAAACCTAGTTAAATTTTAAAAGACAGAAAAACATAATTGCTCAAAACCCAACCAAAAGAAGTAAAACAACCAAATGAACAGTACCAAAACCCTGCAGCCAAAGGCACAGACAAAACATCAAAGGAGCAAAGTCAGCATATAAAAAACTGATTGATAAAGGCAGGGATAGGATTTTTATATTTTCATTTCCTACTCTTATAAGAAATCAACCAATGAATATAACAGATATTAGAATCAATAGAAAAATGAAGATTCCTAAATAATCACGGAATTCATCTCATACCAAATCACATAAACAACCAGTTGTAAAGCCAAAGATAAAAGAGCTTAGATATTTTGCAGGAAAATTTATCGGAATGATAAATAACTTGAAAAATATTAGTAGGAACTACAAAAAAAATTACCATTGTGTAAACAAACTTTAGGAAATTATGAGAGTAAGAACATCAAAAAAAAGAGATGATCATGAGTTTCCATGTTATTCATGGATAAAAAAAATGCCAAATTGATATTCATGCCTCGTAAAGAAAGAATATCACAAGTTTTGAGACCTCTAATAATAACTTTCCAAATATGAATTGCATATTTTAAAGAATTACCTTTAAACCAAATCATCTTAAACCAATTAACATGAGGAGAAGTGGCATAAAGAGAAAGATAAACACTTTTATGAGAATAATCAAAACTGTTGACCTCATTTTGGTCACATAGGACTTGCACAAAAATTTTCTTTTGATCTAGTGCTGCCAGATTAGCCAAAAAATGAATTTGGCGCAACCACACCCAAAAGAACCTCAGTGTGGTCACACCTAACTTGGGCGTGACCACGCCTGAATGTTTCTCGGCATGGTTATGCAAGGCCTGAGCTTGACCACGCCCAGTTATAACTGGAGTGCTCACTCTGCGTGACACGCCATTGATAAACGACATTCATCTATGGATAAGAGCACGAACAGTCGCACTGTTTCGTCAGCGACTATCGGTGGCTCTTTAACCACTAATTTATTGTGGTTATTGGCCCGCCACCTAATCAGGCAGCCACGGGGGAGGGGGTGTTTGTGAGGGGGCTCCGCCACCGCTTCCTCAGCCTATAAATAGACAGTCTTCGGTAATCTGGGACATCTTAACTCTTCGGCACTTACCTCAGGCAATTTGGACAGAGGAAGAAGGAAGAACATTTCTCGGTGAAGCCTGCTCTATGGGCCAGCCCATTCTCTTGATAAGCTTTTTGCTTTGTTTCCTTTTACTTTAAAGTTTTTTAATTCCTAAGTCTTAAGTTGATATTAGGCTAGATTAATCAACTCAATAGCCTTAGATTAAGTTTGGGTTTCGACTCGACTTTGATCCACCAGAACTCACCCTAACCCTAACCCCAAGTTGCAGTCAAACCTAAACCTAACCACTAATTTATTGTGGTTATCGGCCCCCCCGCCTGTTCAGGCACCCATGGGGGAGGGGGTGTTTGTGAGGGGGCTCCGCCACCGCTTTCTCAGCCTATAAATAGACAGTCTTCGGCAATCTGGGACATCTTAACTCTTCGACACTTACCTCAGGCAATTTGGACAGAAGAAGAAGGAAGAACATTTCTCCGGTGAAGCCTGCTCTATGGGCTAGCCCCTTCTCTTGATAAGCTTTCTGTTTTGTTTCCTTTTACTTTAAAGTTTTTTAATTCCTAAGTCTTAAGTTGATATTAGGCTAGATTAATCAACTCAATAGCCTTAGATTAAGTTTAGGATTCGGCTCGAGTTTGATCCACCATAACTCAACCTAACCCTAACCCCAAGTTGCAGTCAAACCTAAACCTAACCCAGACCTGACCCAAAACCTAAACCTAACTTAGGTTTGACTAAACCAAGCCCTGACCCAAACTCTAAACCAAACATAGGTCTGACCAAACCCAAACCTGACCCAAACCGTAAACTAACACATACCTGACGCAAACCCTAAACCTAACCCAAGTCTGATCCAACCCGGACCTGACCCAAATCCTAAGCCTAACCCAGGTATGACCCAACCTAGACCTGACCTAAACTCTAAACCTAACATAGGTCTAACCCAGCCCAAACATGACACAAAACCTAAACCTACCCTGACCTGACCCAACCTAGCTTAACCCGAGTGAACCCTACTCAAACTC